TATATATATATAGTTATATATGTGTATAAGTATAGCTGAGAGAGTCATCCTCAGCCCATAGTCAGCAGTGTTTCCCCGACCATTATACAAGCCGGGTGCCCCGCCCTGTCAACAGAACCGAGCAGAGCACCCTGCCTCCTAAACCGATGACCCCCTCCCCCATCAACAACAACTGACACTGACGTAGCGTTAACATAGCGGCGCACAAAACAGACACGCTAGCTAAAACGCTAGGTAGTGCTCCTTTTCCCTCACGCTAACCCGTCGTCCCTATCCCCGCTCAGAAACTGTCGGTATAAACATTGCGCAACACAGTTGTGTCTCCACCGTCACCCCCCACCCACCCCCCCATCTACAACAGCCAACGCTGACGTAGCACTAATCTAGCAGCGTGCAATACAGATGCGCTAGCTAAAACGCTAGGTAGTGCTCTGTTTCCCTCACGTTGAGCCGTCTTCCAACACCCACTCACCACCTGCTCGAAAACTGTTGGTATAAACATGGCGCAACACAGACATGACTTGGTCCCCCCCCCCACCCCCAAATAAATCACGGAAGAGGTCAGCACCCTGCCATGTCAAGTAACGTAGGGGAAACGCTGCTAAGCATTTCACACTGCACAACACTTTAGTTTAAAGCTTTAGCATTAACTGTTAAAATTAACCGTCCATCTGTTAGCAAAATATGTCATGAACCATTCATTCATTCATTCGACCTTTATTTATACTGGTCAGTTCCCATTGAGCCTCGAGGACTCATTTACAAGAGACCTGTTGCCACTGGATGCAGTTTACTGTGATGGCTAATGTCAGCTAAATGACATTATCCAGCACAACGTGGTCATTTTTACAGATATTGTGCTAAACGTTAGCGTGGTAGTAGCTGAGAGTCATCCACAACACAAGTGCCAACGGATCTCATGAGACGTGACCGGGGGCAGAATCTGGTCTTGCGCTTTTGAGCACCTGCAGACCCGTAACAAACGCAGCGTCCTCAACACGTTTTGAGAACGTGGAAGTAATTTTTGGAACGATCTCGCTGTGTTCAGATCATTTCTCTTCGCTCGTCGCCGACTTCATTCCTCTTAACCTCGGCGGGAGTGGGGGGGCGGGGGCGTTTCTTTTGGAAGGTGCAGTCCTGGCTGGAGGAAACTAACCTTTGGGAGACAATGTCCCCAGTCTCTCGCTGCTCAATGAACCCTTTGTGTCTGGAACTCTCCGATTTGACAACCGATCTCTCAAGTAGATTTTTTCGTGGTCTTTTATGTACACACCTACGCCGTCGACCTCAAACACGAAGCTGACAGATTGATTTTTGAGTATTTTACTCCAGACTCGACGTCGATCACAGATTTGTGGCAGATATTAGCGTTTACCTTCGTCTCTCAGTTTGATGTTTCCAGCTCTTGATATAAATGCAGGTGTTTGTGTTCCTGGTTTGGTGCCATGTTCTCAGAGGAGGTCAAAGGTCAGGCATCGCTGTGGGTGTTATTGGGGCGCGGTGTCGGACACGCTCAGTTAGCGGTGAACACACAGCTATCCTCTTTCCTGTCAGGTGGAGGGTCACAGCCTCTCAGGTGAACCTTTTAGGATAAAACACCCAACAGAAAATGGCTTGAAAAAGTTCCCAAATCATTTTATTTGGCCGAGGTCCCTGAAAATGTTTCAAAACAAAAGTACAGGATGTGGGCCGGAGAACAGAGGCCGAAATTACGTTTCTGTGAAAATGCAGATGGTTCAGAGCTGAATGACAGCTGAAGACTGATGATAATGCTAAAACTGAGTATCGACATTTAAACAAGCAAAACAAAAGCTAAAATAACCAAAATAATAGCTAAAAGTTAGGAGCAGAATAGCAGCTAAAACACTGGGTAAAACCTAAAAGCAAAATGTAGCTAAAAGGAGTGAAGCGTTAGCTAGAAACTTGAAAAAGTCAAAGTCTACATAGAAATTTAAAGTAGCAAAAGGCTAGCTAAAGCCTAAAAACACTAAAAAGTAAAAGTAGGAAAATGCTAGCTAAAAGTAAAAGTACTAGCTTAAAACATAAATATGGCAAAACTATAACTTAAAGAAGCAACATAGCTAAAAGCTGAAAGTGCCAAAAGACTCTCTAAAGAGAATTGTGGATAAATGTAAAAAAAAACGAAAGTAAAGGTACCAAAATGGTAGCTAAAAAGTAATAGTAGCAAAAAGCTAAAAGTAACAGGACAATAGCTAAAAGGTAAAATTAGCAAACTGGTAGCTAAAAGTAGTGAAGTCCTTGCTAAAAGGGGCAGAATGGTCGCTAAATATTGCAGAAAAGTAGATGTTTATAAGTAGCCAAAAGCTTATAGTAGCAGAACTATGAAGTAAAAGTGACATAACAGTAGCTAAATAACAAGGTTGAGACATCCAAAACTAGTTGATCACGTGCAGAAATAGGACCATCAGCCTAACGATGGATTGTTAGTGCCCTGATGGCCGCTTGTTATTCACAGAGGGCTGAGTGATGCAGTGACAGCAGGGTGACAGTTCAACATGGAGGCCTCCCCATGGACGAGTTCTCTTCACAACTCTGCCAGGACCCTGAGGTCTACGCTCATCTGCAGGCCAGCGGGCAGACTTTCATGGATGAAGATGTTCACACCTTTGAAAAAGAGGAACGTTGGTTTGAGAGAGGAGTGAAGGAAGCCATCTTTGTGAAAAGAACTCGTCTATCATTAAACAGGGGCGTCCAGTTTGGACGTGTCTGTCATGCAGACGCTGCATTCACAATGAATGCAGCTGAGCTCTGCGTCAGGGTTGCCAGATAAATTTAATGCAGGTTTTTTTTACCTCCTCCTTTTCTGTGCATATGACAGTTTAGGTCAAATATCATTTTAAAGGGGCAGATCTAGTTCATAATTTCCTATATGGAAACCGTACTGACATAAAAACCACAACGTTTTCATGTAAACCTGCTCTTTTTTTGTTTATTACCTCCATAATGTTTCCAGAGGTTGTTCTCATGTGAACAGGGCCTGAGTTTGTTGCAGCTCCTCAGGCTGAAGAAGTCTTCTGGATAAAAGACGAAATGTTTCAACAAACAAGAACCCATCCAGAGGACCTGACTCAAGCGTAAATGCTGACTCAGCATTGAGTGAAATAAAAAGGATGAGTTGCACAGAAGAGAAGGAATGTAAATTTTGTTGGGCCTGTCTGGGAGAAGAGAAATAAACCTTTTAACTTAGTTTATTTAAATTTGATAAAACAAACTGAACTCTGCAGCAGTCTAAGCTTTTTTTTTTTTCCAAAACTCGAGTTTTCTGCAACATAAATATGTGAAAAAATAAAAACAGCTGGAATGCAGACGTGTTTTTACCTGCAGCTTTATTTATCACCCTAAATGAAGCCTCTTGTTGCTTGAAGACTTCTCGGAGAATGGCACTTTGTGCACTTTGGCCCTACAGGAGGATTCCCACAGTGGTCTTCAGGCTTTTGGCCAGAAAACTCAAGGCCAGGGGGATCGGCTTTTAGAGAGGAAAGTTAAATTGCTTCGATTGGCCCAGCTGTTACAGTCGCTTTCAAAGCACGGCCCTTTTCTCCTGGATTTTATTTAATCGTTCCCGGGTTCTTATCGCGAGCGTGCAATCCCCTGAGATGGCTGAAGGCTTTCTCACGGCAAGCGAGCGGCAGACAGTTTATTTTTTTTCTGCCTTTTTAACGCCTTCAAAGTACATTTCCACTCACCTGTTACCTGGAAACAAAACTAACCAGGGGCAAAGTACAATATTGGATTAGTTTAGTCTTTTATTAAATCAACATGTTTAATTTCACAGTTGAAGGCCTCTACATCAGAGAAAACGAGTGAATGTAATTAACTCCAGGATGGATCCCACTGGAAATAACAGGGCTATGCTTTTTGTTTGTTTGTACGTAGAGACCATGGATGGGCATTTTGAAGAAATATTTTCTGATTTTGCTGGATGGATATTATTCATCAATCCAATATATCAATGTGAAGGAGTGCACGCATGTTCTGGCAGTAAAGTTTTAGCTCACCTGTGACCGTAGCCCCTTTGCACCTCTGTGCTGACGATTCAGTTGTTTATTGCAGAGCTAACACCGTTGCCAAGGTTTTCCATCTTCTACAGTCTACATTTCACATCATTTAGTCTGACCTGTTCCATCTCAAGCTGGTGCTAAATGCTGATAAAACCAAAGGGATGTTGTTTGCAAACAGAAAGTTAGTGCCAGCAGCTCTTCCCTCTCTCTCATCCGTGCTTTGTGGATTTTTACAAATACCTGTGAATTTTAATTGATGCACATCTCTCTTTTAAGCTGCTTGGTAAAGAAACTGAAATTAAAACTGGGTTTCTTTTTCAGAAATAGATCTTGCTTAACTCTGAATTCCAGGAATCTTCTTGTAGCCGCTACTTTCCTATAGATTATCGTGACATTATTTACATGAATGGCCCTGCCAGCTGCTTGCAGATGTTGGATGCTGTGTGCCATGGCGCTCTAAGGTTCATAACCTGTTGTAACTACCGTACCCATCACTGCACTCTGTACTCCTTGGTCAGTTGGTCATCGTTAACTTCACGTAGGCTCTTACACTGGTACATTTTCATCTATAAGTCCCTTCTTGGTCTTGAGCCGGAAAAGGGTAGAGTGCCCTCTCTGGGTCAGGGAGGAGGTCCTGCCCCAAGTGGAGGAGTTCAAGTATCTCGGAGTCTTGTTCACGAATGAGGGGAAAATGGAGCTTGAGATCGATAGGCGGATAGGTGCAGCGTCGGCAGTGATGCGGGCGCTGTACAGGTCTGTCGTGGCAAAGAGAGAGCTGAGTCAAAAGGCGAAGCTCTCAATTTACTGGTCGATCTACGTTCCCACCCTCATCTATGGTCATGAGCTTTGGGTTGTGACCGAAAGAATGAGATCACAGATACAAGCAGCCGAAATGAGTTTTCTCCATAGGGTGTCTGGACTGTCCCTTACAGATAGGGTGAGAAGCTCGATCATCCGGGAGGGACTCAGAGTAGAGCTGCTACTTCTCCACATCGAGAGGAGCCAGTTGAGGTGGCTCGGGCATCTGGTTAGGATGCCTTCTGGACGCCTCCTTGGTGAGGTGTTCCGGGCACGTCTCACCAGGAGGAGATCCAGAGGAAGACCCAGGACACACTGGAGGGACTATGTTACTCAGCTGGCCTGGGAACGCCTTGGGATTCCCCGGGAGGAGCTGGACCAAGTGGCTGGGGACCCCTTATCCCGACCCCGGATAAGCGGAAGAAAATGGTTGGATGGATGGGTGAATCCCTTCTTGGTCTGCTACCTTCTTATAGCTCTTCCCACAAGTCACGTCATCAGTGCAGTTACAGCGTACGCTCTAAGGGATTCATTAACTGTAGTCTCCCCCTCAGTGCGGGTTGAACTCAGCAAAAAGGCCTTTTCCTAATCAGCTCCTGTAACCTGGAACACCTTGCAAAAAGACCTGAAACTGTCCAATTTGATTTCTTTAAGGGATTTTAAACATCTGATAATGTCAATAGAAACATCAAAGTAAATATGTTCTTGTTTTTAGTATTTCGCTCTGTTTTACATGGCACTTTAGTGTCTCCCCTAGATAACTTGACATGGCGGGATGTTCATCTCATCTGTGATTTTTGGGGATGCGGGGAGATGGAGACACCTCTGAGCTGCGTGCTGTTTGACCAAGGTTTTTGTGGGGGGGGGGGGGGGGTCAGCGTGAGGGAAGAGGCAGCGTGAGTGCTACCTTTAGCCTTTTAACTAGCGTACCTGTATTGCACACT